AATTTTAATATTCTTTTGAAATTGCTTTAAAATGACTTAATCCATACTTCCTTCATGAAGCCTTCCCTGACTCCCCTTTTTGCCTGCTAGGTGGTCAATGAACATGTCCTCCTTTGAGTCCTCACTTTGTCTTACACACATTTCTTTTATATTCCAATTAAACTATGTTTGACTTATGTTTACATGTCTATCATCCCTCCTATATTGTGAGCTTCTGGAGGGTAAAAGTTGTTCATAACGACGGCACTTAAAACATAGCTCAATATATATGCAGTAGGTTCTCATTAAGTGTTCACTGAATGAACTGAATCACGTACTACAACATTCCACTGTGTCCACAGATTTAAGAGGACTCCTGCTTAATAAGCTTCTGATTAACTGATGGTTATTTTAAGTCAAACACAATACAGAAAACTAACAAAATTTGCAACTCAAGCTTCAAATACCTACTAAATAAACTGACTAATTTTGTTTGTGGTAAATCACTAAATCTCAGTAGTGCTCCTGAAAAATCTTTCTAATATTTATTTCAAATAGGCATTATGTGATGTTAAAATATTTTTAAATGGTTTAAAAAAAAAGCCTATGAACAAGACTTTTTTTAGAGAAATTATTCGTAATCTGAGTTGTTGATAAATGCTTTAGCTTTCAAAATTGTACTCATCTCAAATTTATTTAATACTCCACCAAAATACCCAAAAAGTGAGATTATGCAACTACATAGCTTTATACAGCATTTCAGAATTATCAATTTCTTATGTTGAATAACCTGATTTCATAGCATCTAGAACAATCTACTAAAATTTTCACTAGCTGGAGGAAGACTTAGAGGGGGGGAGATGGCAGAGTTCCTTACAGTAATCTTAAAGTCAAGCAGCTCCCTCTATAGTCTGTTTGTCCTACTTTGTTTAATTACTTGCTATGTGAACATCTCACTCACACTCTTCTGTTTACTCCTACTCTGCATCTCAGCAGGGAAGCTTTTTGAAAGGATAATTCTGTTTAAATTGATGTTGAGAAAACTGAGAAAGCTGTCTAAGCTCAACATGAAATGAGTTACATCAGGCAACTAATAAGCAAGAGTTAGTATATGTGGTAACTGGGCAGCTTCCCAGATCCACCTGAGTCAGGTCCTTACAATAAAGCCTTAGGATTTTATTTGAAGTGAATTCCCAGAGCACTCATACCCATATTCAAATCTAAGTGAAAAAACGCTGTCCTGTACTTTAGTTATTTATAACCTTGCTTCCCACCACTAAAACAAGTTACCAAAAAATTGTTATATTGCTAAATACATTGTATGTCAAAACAATATTCAAGACATTTTTAAATGAGTGAAAGAAAAGCAGAAGAGGTTTTTGGTTGTTTAAAAATAATTCCATCACTTATATAAAGAAAATTTAATTGATTCTCTCAGGAACCAATATCCTCAACCACCAAAGGATTAAATCAGTTAGTCAGGATTTATCATTCAAATTTGAATGTACCACTTTTTAAAATACCTTTTCAAATTTCACCAACTTAAGATAGGAGAGCTCTTAAACCTAAGACAATTTATTTCTTAAATTACTCAAATATGCCCTCAAAACACAGGACAATCAGAAGTCAACTGGACTGTTTTCTAAAGCAGAAAAACACTTTTCATGCAGTAATAGGAAAACTGAACTAGTAAAAATGTAATAAACCAATCAGTTCAAAATTTATAATATAAATCTGAAATGGTCATTTTATTTGGGAGAAAATTTCTTCTGCTGTTATTTTTCACAACTTCATTTGAAAAGCAAACTCAGTTTAAAAACATATTTTCTCCAAACCAAGGTAAAGAATTGAGGACTTCCAAAATTTCCTATGTATGAAAGACTTAAGTTTATGACACTCTAACGTAGATTTATCATGTGTTACAATTTTTCATTAATTTTACTAATTAGTAGATATATATAGTTTGTGCTTTCAAACAATAAATCTGTCTTCATTAAAAATTCTAGCATTCAGACTTTTACTAAGTCAAACTGACTTCTTTTTTATATTAATTATTTTCAAAATTTATTTTACTAGGTGGACTGGACTACTTTTCTCTGGGGAGAGAATTCAGAAGCAGATAATTGTACAGTTTTTATTTATGTTCAATTAATATTAATTTTACTGGGAGTTTCTGACATGCTAAAAATGCTGGCTTGATTCTGAAAGCTGTAAACTCTAAATGTATGCCAGTGATGTCAAAATTTTTCACCTTTTGAGGAAACACAAAAATTTATGTTTGTGAACTATATTTATAGCAAACTCAATTCAATTATCCTTAACAACTTGAAGTTTGGATTTCTCTGTATCAGGTTTTATATCTTTCAATGTATGTACAAAAAGGTCTAACTTTTATATTGATTTACATTATACATTTCAGTGATTTTTTAATCCAGTTTTTTTTAAGGGGTGGGAGGGGGAGATGCTGGTAATCTATTGTAAGATGTCCAAGAGGAAGAAACACGTATTTCTTTTTACAGACTAGTTCACATTTCTATATTTTTTTATATTGAGAAACACAAAAGTACACCATACTCTTTATTTTTTAAAGAATATTTTTTCACATAATAAAATTCCTCCTAGCTCACTCTGAAATTCACTTTTTTTCCACAAAAAAACTTTCCTATAAAACAGAGCTTGCAAATCACTCAGGGTTACATATTTAATGACTTGTGCAGAGAAAAAAAAAAACTATGTGTAGAAAAGTAACCCAAACCATACAAACTGTAATACACAGCAATGCCACAGTATATCCTATTAGCATGTCCCTTTAAAATTTCAAAATCTGGCTGAACAGAGCTATATCAACATCCCTATCTTATTCCTTCTCTGCACCTGAAGTGAAAAAAAACACAACAGTATATTACACTGAAATTCCAATTAGAAACAAAGACAGCACCACTATATTTAAAAGAGCAGAAAATCTATCCTTCAGAACTCTTTATTGCCTCTGTTCTCCAGCCTCCAAAGTTTCAGGTGTTACACTTTCAACAAATTGTTAACAGCACCCAAATGCCCCATCTTAAAAAGTCCATATCATCAAAATCTTTTTCACTGTTTTAAAAAGAAGCATTCTATCAAATCTCACTAACAACATTGAAATTTTTACCGAAGAGAATTCACATTAAAAGATAACTGCTTAGAGTGCTTGTGTTTGGGAAAGTGCTATTATCTTGATAGCCCACAGGAAAACTGACTGCAGTAATAAGATGAATGGTGATTAGAGCAAGGAGCATCAAGTGGGAAACGCTATCTAAAATCCCAAAGGACAGTACATAGCTAGAGGTAAGAGCATCTCTTTCTAGGAGGCAGCTCCATTACTTCACAAAGGCAGTTCAAAGCATGTAGAAAAGCAAAACAATTAAAAACCTTGTAAATTTGGCCAGTATCCTACTTACATTATCATAAATCCCCAAGAGCTTCTGAGAACGTAGCTTGTCTCCCCACCCCACTGGTTCTTCAAAATTGTTTTTGTCTTAGATGTACGTGTATTTAAAATGCAATGCTACACCCCAGCACAGGGGCTTTTTTTTTTTTTTAAATGTTTGCGTTGCTGGACTTAGATGTGGTTCCTATGAAATTCACGCTATTAAGTGGGATGTTGTACGTTGGGCAACATAAACACGCATTTCCCACTTCCGTGGATACACATTTCCCTGAAAGCAATGCACATGGGGACGCAGCCCTGTTCCCCCAGACTCTGAGGCTTTACTTTAAACTCTAAGGAGTTACGACCTGCACTCACAGCAGAACCACATGGTCACTTCAACAAGAAAGATTATCTGGCCCCAGGCACCATTCTTCAGCCCACAGCATCTCCAGAAGGGGCAGAGGAGAGCGCTGGTGAGAAAAGGCGACGAGGCGCGACTGACAACAGAGCTGACACTTCCCCACTCCTCTGAAAAATATTTCCAGTAAGGGGAACTTGGGAGACGCAGAGGGTGTCCGCGGTCCCACCAGCGACCGACCTCAGAGCGGGGCCCCGCGCAACCGTTCACGGAGGACATGGCGCGGCCACCTGACCCGTCCTCCGGGGCGAGAGTGGTGCCCGCTCCGCCTGCCCGCGACCCCAAGTGCGGACCCGACTCCCGACCGCCGCACGCAGTGTAAACACTCGGCGCCCGCCACCTCCCCGCCTGAGATGGGATGCGGGGGGCGGCGCGCAACGCCCGCGCGGACCCCCATTTTTGCGCCTCTCGTCAGGCTCGGGAGGAAAGGCGAGGAGGGCCAAGGGGAGGGAAGACGCGGCAGCGGTCTGCGGAGAAGGCCGGCGGCGTGCGCGCGAGTGCGCGGCGGGGAGGGCTGCCCGGGCGTCCGCCGCTCCCGCCCGCTTACCTGCCGGGGTCGCTCCGAAGACTCGCACCACCGGCACCTTCTTGACAGGGGCCTGGGTGAGGGGGGATTGGCAAATATCCAGCCCCTGCAGTGGGTTGGCCATGTAGTAGTCGGCAGTCACTATCCTCACTGAAAACATGTTCGCCGCCGCCGCCACTACCTCCTCTTCACTAGAGACCTGGCAGCGGCAGCAGCAGCGGCGGCTCCTTCCGCAGCGGCGGCCCCACAGCCACGGTGGTGGCGGCGCCCCCTCCTCTCCGCGGTTCGGTCCCCTCCCCTCACACTCAGACACGGCGAACAGCGGCGGCGGGCGGGGCAGTGTGGGCACTGCTGCCGCCGCCTCCTCAGGAGCACCCGGCAAGGGGCGACAGGAAGGAAGCCCTCGCGCTTTCGTCGGTGCTGGTGCTGCTGCTGCTGCTGCCGCCACTGCCGCCGCCGCCGGGAATCACACGGGCTCCTCCGTCCCAGGCTGCAGCTCTTGTTGCCATGATGATGATGTCACGGACGCAACCACTGGGGGAGGGAAGAAGGGGGGTTGTGTGTGCGGCGAAGAGAGGGCTGTGAGTAGTTGGGGGAGGGGAAGCGGCGGGAAAGGGAGGGAACCGGTAGGGCGCCCCAGCGGGACATCCAGGCGGGGGCCGAGTATGTGTTTTCTCCCCCGCCCCCGGGCACGCAGCGAGAGCTGAGGCTGCCGGAAAGCTCGGCCGGCACAGGGCGCGGGGGATCGATGACTCGGCCGGTGGGCACGGCTACCTGGGTGAGGGGCAGCGGAGGGAGGGGGCGGCGGAGCGCCGATGTCATGGATGGGCTCGGAGGGCCTGGCGGGAGGGGGGCGCCAGTGTTCAGGGCCGTTTCGGTGGCTAGGCGGGATTGGCCGGAGCCGCGGTAATCGCGCTCGCCTCGCCGACCGCCATTTCACATTCTGCGGAGTAGGCGGGGGCAGCCGCGGAAACGGCTTTTTACAAGGTAAGAAAACCCGCCCGCGGGGAGGCGAGGCGCAGCCCTCGTGCCGCTGCAGCCTCGCGGGAGGGCGGGCGGCGGACGCAGCCGGCCCTTATCAGGTAACGCAGCGGCCTCGCGCGTGGCCCAGGGGCGGTGCGAGGGGCGGGGGCGCGCGAGCGCGGGCTTCGGCCTATAAAAGAGCCGCCCAGCCGTTCGTTCCCCCACGTGCGGCGCGAGCCACCGCGCTCCCTCTTCAGCTGCTGTTCTGCAGTGTCTGCGCCCGACCGCTTAATGAGTTTTATTCACGCTCAGCTCTGCTTAGGTTTGCCAGGGCTTGGCAGATGCAGTGCACAGGGATTTCCCACCGCGGTGTCTTTCTCCCGCCCCTTTCCTCCCCTTTCGCCCTAGTATGTCCTTCCTTGGTTTCCTCCTAGGACCCACAGGCTGCGTTCCGGGCGCGCGCCTGGACATGTAAGGACTTGTCAGTTCCCAGTGACCTCCCTCCTCCTCTTCCTCCCCTCCCTTCCCCGCGGAACGTAGGATTAAGAGCCTTTCGGCGAAATTTTCGGCCGAAGAAAAGGCCCAAGAAAGTCACCACGTCAGATGTGGACTCCCAGTGTTATTCATTAACAGTTTGTGTAAGGTTTTACTATCCTAAGGCATAAAAGCAAAAGGAGGTGTGGGAGGACCGTTAGACAAAACAACTTTATCCAAAAGCGGGGGGGAGGGGGAAATAGGGGTGCAGTTGTGAAACGGAGAGCAAAAAAAGGGTAGTAACAGATGCAGCTGGCTTGGCCATTATATTGGAACCGTTAGGTTTTTGTCTGACTTGGTCACTAATATTGGGCGTGACCTTGGACAAATAATTTAGTTTCTTCGGGCCTCAGTTTCCTTATCTGTGCAACGAGAGTTTAACTTAAAAATCCATTAGGGTTTCTTCCCATCAAAAAGATTGAAGCAGTAGAAGGCAGAAACCGTGGTTTCAAGTTTGAAATATGCCACAGAGTTAGGACTTTTGACAGTCGTTTTCAATCTACTCTAATTAGAGATCATTCTTTCACACGTGTATTATACAGGTGTTATTTTAATGGTTAGTAGGTTGCCGTATATTTGAAGTGGTGTGAGAGATCCTCATTTGGAACCATTGTGGTTCTTAAAGTAGGAAAAGCAAAAGGCCCAGAGGGACAGATCACTGGTAAGCTGTCTATAAATCCCATAACATATAATGCTAATAAGAGTTTATGTTCCGAGGGATTCGAGACTGATCACCACAGCAAATTAGCTTGCAGTTTTCAACCTGAGAGCATGATTGTAAACATAGGTGGCAAGATTTCTACTAATATACAGGACCTTACTTAATATTTTAAGAGGCAAAATCTAATTTGATTTTAGTTTTAGAAAGGTATAGAAGTGACTTAAAAATAGGACTACCATACTAAATGCATTTTCTGGTAAAATATTTTGTACAAGCTGAATATCAGATGCACAGTACCAGTGATTCTCACAGTATTTCATGGCACTAGTGTGTTCTTTAATATTTTGGCACTTACTAAATCACATTTTTGGGATATGGGGCCTGGACCACCCACCACTGTCATGATTCTTAAGTAATATAAAATCGAGCATCCCTGTACTATATCATAAAGTACATCCATAATATTTAAATTATATTATTCCTAACTAGAAAAAGGTAAAAGTATGAGATTCACAGATTAGCTATTTCTAGAAAAGGGTTTCTTTCCTCCTACCTCTTGAATCAACTCATTTACTTTAAGAAAAGGCAGTTGCAACCATCATTCAAATCCTTCTAGAACTCCAAGGAAAGAATGTTCACTCTTGAAGAAAAACATTTGCAGCATGAAATTAAGATATTGTGTCCATTGCATGTAATAAAATTTAACTTAATGTTCAAATTGAAAACCTGACAGTACTCCCCTAATTAATCATTATCAAATGTGTTTTATAATTATATTCTCCTGAGGTAAGAAAGAGCTCTGGAATTTTGAGTCAGAGAATGAAAAATTAAACCATCAGTTACTAGGTAAATGAGTTTGGAAAGATAACTATTTTGGGTTTTTTTTTTTTCTCATCTATGAAATGGATAGTAATTCCTGTTTTAACTTTTCAGGGATGTTGTAAGGCTTAATCAAATGAGATAATGTATGTGAAAGTATCATAATAAACTTTGACATCCAGAAATTTAACTCATCTGAAAACAATAAAATCATTTGGAACTGTTATCTACATACAATATGAGAAATGCCGAAATTGACCTCTATACTTAACAAACTTAAAGCATCTGTTTTTGTTATTGCTGTTAATGTTGAGTGACTATTTGCCAGGTGATTTGAGATATAGCGAGAAACAAAACAGACATGGTTCCTGCCCTTAGAGAGTTTATAGTCCAGCATCATAGAAATATATTTCAGTTATATCAAGTGACATTTTATTATCTCTTCTAGTTCATTAACCTATACTCATCATGTCATGCCTTTAGTAAAACCTGCTCAGCCTTCTGTACCAATACTGTTCAATGTCTGTTAGCAATTTATAATCTAGAACAAGGCAATGGATACCATAATTTTTTGGTAGATATTATAAGATGGCTTATTCAACACTTATCCAGCCCCCCTTGTAGCTTGCTTTTCTGTACTTTAGAAGCTAGAAAATTAAAAAATACTAGAGTACTGGCATGGATGAGTGGTGTGCTAGTAAATCATTAACAATGGCTGGAGGAGGGGAAAGAACCTGATTTGTAGCATTGACCCATTTTTATGGTGTGAATACTCCCAAGCTACCAAAGGGACTTCACTGAATAGGGAGTTAGTTGGAGAAGATGCTAACAATTATATGTTGGCTTCAGCGTTTCACTACATGTAACCTGGTTTCCAGCGATCAGATGCACCCATTCAAGACGTAGATCTGAAAATGAGCAACGTGATGCCTCAGTTGCACTCAGGGAGATGGGATTTTCTGGCAAACACCGTGGTGGAGGTGTCTGGTTCTTCTAGGTAGCTGGGGAGGAGTTCTGGCATCCATTTTGAGAGTCATAGGTGCTGACTGGCAAGTGGTGCTAGGATGGCTTTCTGCTAGAATAGCGGATGTGATGCGGGATGAGTGTTCTTCCCGGTTTGGTTTTTCCTGGATGTTGTTTCTAGCCATGTATTATCCAAGCCTGGTTCTCTGGTTCTCTCAGAGATCTATGAGCTAAATACCATCCTTTAATCCCTTTCTGCTTAAACTAGCTCAGTCACAGTCAGCTACACAATTTGTTGAGCCCAGAGCAAAATGAAAAATGTAAGGCCCCTGTTCAAAAAGCAGGGAACAAGTGCCATTACACGTACTAAAATACAAAGCTTTTTCTTTCTTCCGTCATCTCTCCCTCAGCCTGTCATGCTGTTTTTTAATTTGCTTTTTAATGTCATTCTAAGAAAAATTAGAATTTTAAATTATTAGAATGAATTTTACCATTTCTCGTTATATTGTGCAGTGCCATTTATAAATGCAAATATAAGAGCATTTAACTCATACATGAAATCACCAAAACGACACAATTCATATTTCGTAGCTCGTACATGCCACGAGGATGTATTTTTTGCTTATCAGAACAGTGTAAATGCAGCACAAAACTAACTCAGCTGTTTTTCTTTCCCTTCTTGATACGCACATATCCTACCAACCTGAGTAAGGAAGGACTGAAGGGAAAGGAACTATGGGTTGCCCTGCCTTTCCCCTTCCTTCTATGTCATCATTTTCAGTGTAAATGGTCATACAGGGAAGTAACACACACAAGTAAGGCTACGATAGAATTCTTTGGTCACTTGTATTTCTTAGGATGCCATTATCTTCTTTCTGCACCTGAAGCAAGTTCTGGTTGAAATGGAAAGCATAGTCTCTTGGAACTGTCAGCGCCTCCACTAAATCAGTCATAGATATAACATGTTTGCCTTGTAGTCACTTTCCCAGAGCTCCTGTATGCTTAGGTTCACCAGCATCCTGTGCTTGTGAGGCATTATGCAGACTGTGTGCAAACTGGGTAGTAAGCAAGAAGACAAACAGTTTGCCTCCTCTGCTTGCAGGTATGATCCATTGTACCACTTCTTTTATAAAACAGACATTCAAACATAAAAGTATTAAGATTTTCAGAATGGTAACTGCAGACCATTAAAGCAAGCAGAGGGCCCTGTATGACTGCACAGTTTGCATGCCATGAAGTTGACCCTGAGCTCAGTGTTTCTCAAGGGGGCTTCTCCTGATATTTTGGATGAAACAATTCTTTATTGTGCAGGATATTTAACATCCCTGGCCCCTGGGCACTACATGCCACTGTGATAAAAATACCCTCATACATTTCTAAGTGCCCCCCAAAGAGGAGTTACTTCTCTCTACTGAACTCCTTTAGTGGACTCCACTGTCTGCAGCTAGAAACCATGATCATTGCAGATCCTGGAAAGGTCATGTGCAATTTTTGCTATGGATTCTCAAGCAGAGCAAAATACAGAGTTGAGTTAAAAAGATTTCAAAATTCTCATACCTGGGAGAGCAGAATTATGGTGACCTTTTTTCCATTGTCAGAAAAATAATACCACCTACCTTGGTGATGAAACAAACATTTGGGATGAAAGTTTAAAGGGGATCAGTGGGTTTTAGGTGTCACATGCATATAAATGGTAGTTGATCTTTTCTAAAGGAAATTTTTACCCAATCCTTCATACAGTGTCTGACCTCTATGAAACCATGATGGTAAAGAAACTCATTTCCTCCCAGAAGGGATTTGGAAGACCTAATTAAGTATGGCAAACTCTGGAGGCAATTGCCATCAGCTCTCCTCACTCTCAAAAGACTTCATGCAGGTTTCCCCCAATTTATTCATAGCAGCTGTCTGGGTATAAGGTAGACACATAAATATGTATTGCCTGAATGATAAAATATTTTTTGACTAAAAGAATGGGGTTTTATGTCTCTTTTTAAAAGAAATTAAAGGAAAGTCAAATTAATCATTGTGGTGAGAGCTGACTTTCTCTGTGTTCTTATCTTTTTAACCAATTAATCTACTCAGTTACAGGGAGAAGCAACACTTTGAAAAAACAACTCTCAACTCTTCCACTTCCATAAATTAGCAGTAATAGTTTTAAGGGAGAGACCATTGAGCCTATAAATTAAAGATGATGTTTGAGAAACAAAAAAGAAGCTTTCAGAATAGAGTAATATTAGAATTGTTGATTGAGCTTTCCAGGACCCTCATTTAAATTACATGTCCAGAACTGATATTGGGGCATTTCTGATGGATCATGACTAGGCAGGAAGAAACCAAACACACATAGAGTAAGATTAGATTAAGTTCTCAGTTTAAATAATCAGGATTCAAAATCTCAGAAGCAGTGTGTCTGTAGAGCAGCATATCTCAGGCTGGTTTTCCCTGGCCCCAAAGTCCCCACTGCACTTACATATTCACAGCTTAAATCACATTCCAGGAAAACGTCCACTAATAATTTTTGTTATTGACAGTGAGCTCCCCTGGGTTTTGATCCTAATTTTATATCCCTCCAGGGACCAGGAAAGACTATTTACTGTCAGATGTGTAGGTCACAGACCAACACTTATATTTCCTTATTTTCTCAATAAAATGTATTTTTCCAATCTTAAAGGTTTGAAATGCATAGGAAAGAAATTATGGAAAACCATAAAGAAAATATAGGACACTCAATCCCACCCAAAGGCAGTCATGATTAACATTTTAGCCCCAATTTTTCCTAGAAAATTTTTCTATAAGTATATTACACAGTGGAAATAATCCCCTGTTTTTTTTCACTTTACATTGTAGCAGAAACATTTCTCATGCAAATTAGAATTTTTCGTATAAATTATTCTAATGGATACATAATATGCTGTGCCATGGACATACAAGAGTTTTCCATTTTCCTACTGTCGGCCAATAACAGAATGTTTCAAATTTTACAGTTATAAATATCCCACCGATTAGCTCCATTTTGGATCCTACTCTTAACTTTGAAGGAATTTACTTTATTGTTCATTATTTGACAAGAACATCAGTTTCAAGTACATGCCATGTTCTTTCTCTCCAAAGAAGAGAGAATTGTATGTGATATTCTTTCTGCCTGGTTTGCTCTTCCTCTCTCCACCTCTTTTTGCACAGTTAGTTCATTCTTTAAATTTCAGGTCGGGACTTCCCTGGTGGTCCAGTGGTAAAGAATCTGCCTTCCAATGCAGGGAACGTGGGTTTGATCCCTGGTTGGGGAACTAAGATCCCTCATGCCTCGGGGAAACTAAGCCCATGCACCACAACTACTGAGCCCACGCACCTCAACTAGAGAGACCGCGTGCTGAAACTACAGAGCCCACACGCTCTGGAGCCCGGGTGCCACAACTAGAGAGAAGCCCATGCGCCGCAGCAGAAAGATCCCACATGCCACAAAAGCCCAATGCAGCCAAAAATAAAATAAATAAATAATTATTTATTTATTTTTTAAAAAGAGAGATCTTTAAAAAATAAAAAATAAATTTCAGGTCAAAGGTCACTTCCCCAGGGAAGCCTTCCCAAGCTATATATTTGATTATGGTTCTCTGTTACACACTCGAATTGTACTGTGTTTCTTTTTCTCCAGAGCACTTACCTGTGGTTGCAATAATCCATGCATTTGTGTTTTATTTGATTAATTTCTGTACCCGCCTTGGACTAGAATACTGCAATCATTATCTGGATAAGCAGTGATTATAATGCTTCTATAAACACAGGCCAGTTAATGTGATCTCATTCATATCACTGACAAGATGGGTTAAAGCTTGAGGCTGAAATACAATTAATCCAAAAATACTTATGTACCAGGTATTATGCTAGGTGCTGGGAATATAGAAGTGAGAATGGCAGGCATGATTTCAGCCTTCATGCTAATAGTCTAGTGCAGGGTTTGGCAAATTTCCTGTAAAGGGACAGATAAATTGTAGGCTTATCAGGCCATATGGTCTCTCTCCCAACTACTCAACTTTGCCATTGAAACACAAAAGCAATCATCAACAATACATATAGGAAAGAGTGTCTGGGTTCCAATAAAACTTTACTTAAAAAACAGGCGGGGGGACTGGGTTTGATCCACGGACTATTGTTTACTGACCCCTGGTCTAGTGGACAAGACAGCCATTAAACAGATCATTTGAGATGACAAATACTTCAAAAGAAAAGGACAGGGTGACATAAAGTCACATGGCAGAGCTGTCCAACTTAGCCTAGAGAGAAGAATAAAGACTTTCTTGAAGAATATGACTTTAAGCTAATATTTAAATAAAGAGGAAGAGGAGTTACCCGGATAAAAGTAAGGGCAACAGGCTTGATGAAGACCTAAAGCATGGAAAGAGCGAGAATAGAAATAAATTCATTCTTAAACTTAGCGATTGACGGAGAGGGAGATGAAATTGTGTAAGGATAGAGTACAGAGTGAAAAGACAAACTAAGAGTGTTGAAAAAATTTCAGAACCTAGTACTTCCCTAGAGGAAGAGATGCCAGCAGGAAATACTCAGAAGGAATGATCAGTGAGGTGTAGCAGTAGTAGCAGGACGTTTAAGACCTTCCGTCTTGTGACCTAAATGGGAAGGAAATCCAAAAAAGAGGGGATATATGTATATGTACAGCTGATTCACTTTGCTGTGCAGTAGAAACTAACACAACATTGTAAAGCAACTATACCCCAATAAAAATTTAAAAATAAATAAATATAAGAATAGTTTGTATAAAAAAAAAAAGACCTTCCATCTTGTATGTTGGATATGTACGTTGGGAGATATCAGCCTAAAGGCTGGGAACCTCAGAGAACTGGTACACTTTCTGAAGGACTAGATAGGTAGATAGATAGATAGATAGATGATATAAAAGAATAGACCTGAGGACTGAGAAAGTGTGAGTGGTAGGGTAGAAAAATGAAGAGGTAGTGAAGGAATCAGAAATAATAGATAGGAACACATCACTGATATATAGTAGGTGCTCAATAATTTTTTGATAAGTGAATGGAAGGATAACAATATAATGTAAAATCAAAGAACCCAAGAGGGAAAGGGTTTCAATAACAGGTTGACCTATAGTTTTGCATGCTTAGAAGAGCTATTGCTCAAGGCTGGTTTCCTTGACTATCTGAGAAAGGTTGCGGGTAAGGACTCAGTTACTTTTGATGCCCTAGTGCAGGATAAGCCTGACCTCCAATTCCTTCCTCTAAGGAAAGCTGACCTGGCTCTTTCCTTCCCTGAAGATTTCAATGAGTAGGAATAGGGACCTTCCTGTGTCAGTACATGTTCAAAATAAAAATATAAAATTAGAATAGGAGCAAGATTTTTCATAGATTGCCATGACACAAGCTCAACTGTTTTGGTCATTTATATTAAACATGTATTTTATTACTTAATTCTAAACATTTTGTATTGCTGTTTTAACTTTATTAACTTCTTGTTGATATCTATAAAGTCCTGTGTTAGATGCTGTGAGTGATTCAAAAAAATGTAAGACATAGCTCTGGGCTAAAGTATTATGTAACTGACAAGTAAATTGTAAGTTTCTTGACATTAGGAATCATATGTGACATTTCCTGTTTTTCCTTGTACAGTATCAGACTTATAGTTGGTACTGCAGAAATAATTTTCCCCTGCCCTCTGCCTTGCACCATTTGGTGACCAGATGGTGTCCATAATATAGCCACTTCTGTATGACTTGGACAAAACATGATGCTTTCTGAAGAAGACAATATTCTGAAGGCATCTGTAACAGTAATTTCAGCTTGTTGAAGGTTGGGGTTCTTTGTGTAAAGGTCAGCCTGTCAGTAAATAGCATCGCTACCCTGTTCTTTCAAGATTATAAGAAACCTTTGTATGTGTGTTTTTATACCTAAAGAAAAAAAAAAAAGCGTAGTGGGAAACTGTACCCAGTGGTCTCACCAGATGTTTTCAAACCAGAACTAGGGCAACTGAGTTGTAATTTGTTTTTAAGCAATTTTCACAAATTTATGAGAGTAGGGAGCTGAGATTTTTCTTGCCTGAATTAGCAGGTAATTTCATTTTCCATTCGACTTTAGCAGAGAAGACCTCTCCTTAAGATGAAAATGTGAAGCAGAGGTTCTTGCTAAATCTAAAAAGTAGAGCAAAGATTAGTCTTAAGAAAACTCATAGATAAGGGGGAAGCATACCTTTTTCCGAATACCCAGTCCCCTGTACTAAGCATATTCAGAGGCTTGCAAGACTTTATTAATGACTATGACATGTGGCTTACGTCCTCCTCTTTACCTGCGTTCCTCCCGTCATCCTGAGTGAATTCATCACCCAAGTAGACAGCTCACCCAGCACCAGCCTCAGAGTTCCTGGATGTGATCTTCACCCACTCGCTTCTATTGCCACATCCTGGATTTGTCATACACCCAATCTGTTTCACCTCTAACCTCATAAATGCAGACTTGACTTTGGCCAGAACTTTCATCCTAGCTCTGTCACTCAGTTACTCCCAGTACAGCCATTCTCAGTTCCCTAACATCTCATTTCCAGTACTCTTCCTCACTCTGCTGCAGCCTCTCACCCTTCTCAGGTTTCTCTGACTTGGGACCTCCAGTCCATAGACTTCTCTTCTTTCTCCCTATCAGCCTTCTCCTGCCTTCACTTCTTTCATCTCCTGCTGCGTTCTATTTTAAATTACCACTCTCTTGCCAGGAACCACATCTCCTTTGCCCTGTTGCCCTGATATCACTTACCTGACAAAACAACAGCTCTAACTGGGTGTCTGCTCCCAGATTGCTGAGTGCACCCAGACAGAAAAAATAACTGCTATGCAGATTGGCATTTAACACTGTAAATTCAGGACCACCAACCTCAGCTAGATTATTCTTTATCTATACTGTTGGGAAGAGAAGGTTATCCTTATAATGTATTAGTCTCTACCATCTGAATCTCATACTTAATAAGCCAAGGTATAATGTTATAAATTCTTTGTATACCAAAAATTAGTATTAGGCTGGATCATTTCAATTATTACCCTCTCTGACTCTCTAACTTGGCTTTTGTACTTACTTGCCTGTTTTACTTTATGGTTTTGGGTCTAGTCCATCCAATAAGGTAAATTTCTAATGTTTTTAAAATTAATATTTGATCCGTCAAAAAGAACATGTCTTAAACATTATGGAATGAAATGATAACGGAAGGGAAATCATTCCTACACGTAATTACCCTTTTTAGAGGCCTTTGTGAATCCAAGTTGTCTCTAGTTGTTGTCACTCAGGACAGGGGTCTTAGGCTCAGCTCACTTAAGTCATTTCATTCTTGCCTTTCCCAGCTTCCCCTTTCCATCATTTCTGATCCCACAAATTTCTAAAAACACACCCTTTTTTTCCCCCAAAAGTAGCAGGGAAAGCAGTGCTACGTGTATGGGGAACAGGGCTAGGTATGTTTGTACGTATAGTTCATTTATTGAATGGCAGCGTAGCATACTGGTTAAGAGTTCAGGCCCTCCGGCCCAATTTCCCTAGTTACCTGCTCTGTGATTTTGGGCAAATTACTTTCTGTACCTCAGTTTTCCCATCTGTAATATACAGATAATAATACTAGTTCCTACCTCACAGTGTGATTGTGAGGATTAAATTACATATTTTATATGAGTTAATATCTTAGAACTGGTAAGCACTCAGTAACTGTAAGCTATTATTCATAATTTAGAATAAATTATTATTAATAATAATAATTACAGCTTCTCTATTTCCTAAAATACACTTATTAAGAAGAGAATAATGATGAAAGCTAGGAGCTGTTAAAAGTCCATTGATTGGACGTAAAAAGTAGAGTTTTAGAATCGCAAAGGACCCAAGAAATTATTTAGACCATTGGTTCTTAGGCAGTAATATGCATTAGAATCACTTATGAAATATTATAAAGTCACAGTTACCCAGGCCCTCCCTTCTCACATCTACCAAGTCAGAAATATCCACAGGCAGTTCCAAAGCATCTTCCTTGCAAGAACCACTGAACTAATTCAAGTCTTTAGATTTTATTATGAGGAAGTTGAGACTTAGAATAAATAACTTGCCTAAGACCCCAAGTGTAAGTGGGACCCAGGTAACGTAGCTCCTTGGTAAGTGATCTTCCTGCTCTTCTATGTTGCTTGCCAAATATTAAATTTTAAAGAAATTAATATGGGAGTTTATCCTTCTCTCAGTAATATCAGGAAGAATAACATAGGTTTTAAAAGCATACTTCATTCAGCATTTAATTCAAAATAAAACTTATTTTACAATAAAAATAAATGCAGATGACCTTTGTAGAGGACTTCATGCAGAGGACTTTTGCATATTTACAGTAGGATTTAAAGTGAATTTTGCTGTGCTTTTCATGTGGATGTTTGTTTTTGCCACAATGCTTGCTGCTAATTAGTACAAGGAAACACTGTGCGTTTTTGCTCCTCACGCCAACCTCACAGATTGACAGGCAAACAAAACAAATGGTTTATAGGGCAAGGTAGGTTGTAGGAATTAAATTCTTCAGAGCTCTCAATAATAAAATATGCATTTCTTATAATTAGGATTTTTTTAATTTACATTAAATTTTTTTAAACCTTTGTGAAATATTCTTGGAATTTTCCAGTCCGTGAACAGTCAATGTAGGAAAATCAATGGTTATTAGGTATAGTTTTCTTATTGCAGCTTTACTGATTGGTAGATTAAAAGTCTAAAAACTATAGCAAAAATTTTTTTCTGAATTTTTCTATTTGGTATTGAGTACTATGATACTATATCTCTTAAAATGTTTTTCTTTATCCATAATATAAAGGAATCAAAAAATACATTAGAACTCGGATGTGAACTTGTGCAAAGGTGTGAAATAAATTGAGATGACAGGGCAGAAGCAAGAAAATGGAGCTCAAATTAAATCTACCCCTCAACGCAGGCCTGTTTATATTTTACTATGTTTGCTATCATAAATTTATTTCCATGTATGTGTTTCTTTGCTAGAAATGATAAATAGCTGCCAGCCCAACTTCTGATTCTTAGGCAACTCCATTTTACCAACAAACCACTCATTTTGATTTGGTAAGTGCGATGAAGTCCACTATCCCAGATCCCCATCAACCTGTTTTAAACTGTTGTTGCTTCTGCTGCGTCTTTGCCTGATTCCATACCCTTTGCTCTATATTTCATCTCAGGTTTGACCTTTGGATCTTTTTACTTGATGCATGTGTCTGGCCTCCTGGCATTTGACTACAACCTGATCATCTTTGGTTTAGACTCACCTTCTAGTTCCAAGCTACCAAGATTTATACCCCCTGGTTCCAGCAGTTCAGAAATTCCCGGCACAGCCATTGGCTGCTATCTAAAGGGGATCAACTTCAAACACTAGCCCTATATTATAAACATTTTTTCATTTGTTCAACAGATTGTACTCATCACTACTATGTGTAAGGCACTAGAGTAATTTCTGGGAAATACAGAAAATTAATTAGTAACAGAAAGCTTAATGCTCTTAAAATCTGGTAAAACAAATAATACAAGTATATAATGATAGTTTAAGATAGTATGTGTTCAACTCTTATGAAGTATTTATACAAACAAAACATTAATTTTAAAAATCTTCGAATAGAAAATCCTTAAGCTGGAATTAAGGGGTATGGGGTACAAGAAGACATGACCAAAAGAACCTGGGATGTGATTCATGGATTAAAAAAGATTAGGAAGGGCTTCCCTGGTGGCGCAGTGGTTGAGAGTCCGCCTGCCGATGCAGGGGACACGGGTTCGTGCCCCGGTCCGGGAAGATCCCACATGCCGCGGAGCGGCTGGTCCCGTGAGCCATGGCCGCTGAGCCTGCGCGTCTGGAGCCTGTGCTCCGCAATGGGAGAGGCCACAGCAATGAGAGGCCCGAGTACCGCAAAAAAAAAAAAAAAAAAAAAAAGATTAGGAACACTGACAGGTGTTTAACTAGACTTTGGAGGTAGGGTAGGATAGACACATGCAACAAACACATTCCAAAAAGTGGAACCAAATCAACAAGAGCAGAAAAGGTTAAAGAAATTTTATTCGTCTAGACTGGTTGACAGTATATGTAAGGAGTGGAAGAAAGCCTAGAAAAGTTGGTTGGAACCAGATTATGGAAGGGTTTGAATACTGAGGAGTTTAGAGTTGGCACGTATGTTTTGGGGAGTCAGAAAGTTTTGAGCAGGAAATGATGATTGGCTTGATTTAGCAGTGCTATACAGGAAGGATTTGGTAGTGAGGAGACAGGCAGGTAGAGACTGCAAACCAGGGAATCAGGAGGCTAATACAGACAGTAATCTAAAGTAAGGAGGGCCTGGAGACAATTTCTTTTTTTTTTTTTTTTTTTTTTTTTTGCGGTACGCGGGCCTCTCACTGTTGCGGCCCCTCCCGTTGCGGAGCACAGGCTCCGGTCGCGCAGGCCCAGCGGCCATGGCTCACGGGCCCAGCCGCTCCTCGGCATGTGGGATCCTCCCGGACCGGGGCACGAACCCGTATCCCGCATCGGCAGGCGGACTCTCAACCACTGCGCCACCAGGGAAGCCCTGGAGACGACTTCTTAAGTGCCTGTTATGAGCTGGTGCTGGTGATACAATGAGGACTGGGTCCTTTAGATGAGGAAGTTTTTAGTCTAGCGAGATACTGATCTCTTAAAGGCTCCTAGAGGGGTCTCTATGCAAAACTTTGGGACCACTTCTGATCGTTTCCCGGTTACTAGGTTAATTAGATCGATCTTCATCTTATAATAGGATGTATTCTCTACCTTCTAAAACTACTTTTCCATTTTATCAGTCTGCTAAGGCAAAAGTATCCCAACCACTTGCACATAAAGAAAAGCAATTTATTACTTAAAACAAGACAGGAACACGACACCATACAAGGCAAAGCAGAAAATGACATGTTTTAAAGAGATAACTGAAGATGATGAGGAGAATGAATTGGAGGTTAGATTAGGAACAAGAAAACCAGTTAAGAGTTTGTTGTAGTAATCTACCTGCTTGATTATGAGGGTCTGAACTAAGACAGTATGAAAGAAGAGGAGTCCTTAGTGGCTACTTCCACCATAATCCTTTCTATCACTGCCCTGGTACAACTCGGGGGTGGGTAAAGGACTCTCACTTGGAAT